AACTAGGTAGGCAGCAGGAATGCTATGTGAAGGTATCCCCATTCAAGTCCTCATCACTGCAGATGCATGGCTCTGAATTAAGTACACATTTACATATTTTCTTCTTCTTTTTTTAATGTACAGGAGGCATGGCTGGGGTCAACTTGCATGACTGTGGGTTTTAGAACTTACAGATCAAGAAAGTGGTGTGTGAACAAAGGGAAAGACCTAAGTTGGAGCTATGGGGTCTGAGCAGCATTGCTTTCCTATGCATCTCCAGAGCACAGTATGAGGTCTTGTCTGCTTCAAGGTGGGGACTTGTCATGAATGCTGTCTGTATTGTATCCTCTACAGAACCAAGTGGTTGTTGCTGCTGGAAGAAGTTCTTGGGGAGCCCGGCTCTCTGGGGCACTTCATGTCTACAGCCTTAGCTCACATTGAAGTCCTCACTACACTATTCTGCCCCTCTCTCTTGGGCCAAGTCATCTCCAGGGTGGACAAAGTATTCCTGCAGTGGAGCTGTGAAGCCTGACAGAGGTGGGACTTCTGGGACAGACATACTGACAGCCAGGTTACCTGGAAGTATGGTCAGCTATGTATGGACACCAGATGATGGGGAGCAGCAGGCACCGTGCATCTCCTCTGGGCTTCCTGCCTGTGCCTGGGACTGTAACAATTCCCCTCCTCTTCTCTTCTACTTGAACACCCGTCTCTCTCTTGCTTAGAAAAGTATAGTCAGCTCTTACATACTCTCTATATAATTGCTCCTTTAAAAAATCTGTTAGTGGTGGCTGGTCCTATTTGGATCTTAAATGTGCCCCCCAAATACCCATGTTGGAGGCTTGGTCCCCAGCTGAAGGAGGGTGGAAATTTTAGGGCGGGACCTTGTTGGAGGAAGTTATGACACTGGAGTGTACCAGGACCCCAAGTAACCCTTGTCTGCTTCCCAGCTGCCATGAAATGAAAAGCTCTCCTCTGCCATGATGTATTGCTTTGTCCCCAGCCCCAAAGCAACAGAGACACGCTCCCTGAGCAGACATGGCTGACACTGTGAGCCTAAATAAACATTTACTCTTTTTAAGCTGTTTATCTTGGGCATTTTGTCATACTGACGGTCCACTATATAGTGAAAACATTGTGGGAAGAAAAGAGAATGGCATAAAGGAAGGGGCACACATACTGCTCCTTCCTCAAAGAGGATTTAGAAGAACCACTACAGAAGCTAGAGCATTCTCGTGCCTCACACAAGTATGTGGAGCTTGCTGTTCAGACAGACGATGATCTCCACCCACTTGGCTTTAAGTCTCACAGGGTGGTGGGGCTTTGCTGTGCTAGGCTGCCAGCCCCATCCATCAACAGAGCAGGAAGGATGGTGTGGCCTGAGCCCAGGGTGAGTGTAAGAGACCAGTGAAGAACCCAGCGGGAAGTGGACTGTGGCCCATTTTTTAGGGTAGATTCTGTGCTCCATCTCCACAGTGTGGCTTCAGGAGAAGTTCACCCTCACCTATACCTGCTAACAGTAACTGGCTGGTCTGTGTCAGCCAAGGGAGATGCTGTACCTTCTGACCCTAGGAAATGATATCAAAAGTAGAAGGAAATGGGCGACAAGTCCCAGTAAGAAAGAGGTTCCTCTGTAGAGAAAAATGAAGAGGAGATCAAAGGAGAAACATCTCTACTCAGACAACTCACAGGGAAGACAGAAAGAGGAACAGTTCACAAACATTCACCCCAAAAGGCACTACTCATTCTCCAGACTAGCCGAGTGTGCACTATACAGGCTCCTAAGACACAGCACGAAGCACACAGGGACATTTGATTTTGCTTGGGTAGTACCTGGCAGTTCAACCTATCTGAAGAACACTTCCAGGAGAAGGGTTATTGCTTTACCTCTGTGATAGCCAATCAGTAAATATAAATGGCAGGACTAAACCCAGGACCTTGTGCACACCAGGCATGGGTTTCCCCAACCCTGGGCTGATGCTCCAGCTCCAAAGTGCCAGCATTTTTGCTTTGCTAACTGATGAAATCCTGTCTAAATATGGCCATGGCTGTCCACAGGATTTTCTTTAACTCAATGTCTGAACATAGCAGGTAGCAGGCACCCGGTAAAAACAGCTAAAAGCTTATAGAGACGGAACATCTTCAAGATAACAGGATTGTCATAAGGACAATTGTAACATTGTCATATTAACAATCCTAACAAGGTAACTAAAACATTATTGAAAACATTAGTAACCAGCCCTGATATGGACATTCTGATAGTTATGATCTTTGAGATGGAAAAACAGATCCACTCAATGAACTATAAACCTAATCTTAACACAGCAGGAGTAGCTGGATAAATCTTTCTGCAATATTCTGCAGGAAATAAAACCCATAGCAGCTACAGCTCTGATGGTGGAGCCATGACTCGCTGAACTACTTGCCAAATATGATTCCCTTGTTATGATAATGGGACAGTCGACCTCAACTGTGGCTGCAAGAGAGGCATATTGGAAGGAGCATGGACGAGCTCCACCTGGTCCTTCTCTTTACAAGGCCCAATTCCTGGACAAAATCTGCAAGGATCCCAGCACCCCTGTCCCATCAGAGGTATAGGCCACCAAATGAGGCTCTTAAAGGGGCCTGCAACCTTAATAAACAGATCTTTTTGTGCTGCCACACCAGAGAATTTGTTCAATTATACAAACCACCTGCCTAGCTATAATACTACTTTCCATCAACTAGCTTGGGTCATTGCCAAAACTGCAAAGTGCAATAACACCGTAGATGTGTGCAATGCTGAATTCCAGATGTGCCTTGCTTAAGGAGAGACTGCTCAGTATGCTCTTGTCCAGCTCACCTATAGCGTGCCCTGCTTGATAGAGACCTTATCTTCTGGCGTAGAAAATCAGACTCCAAGCTGAAATATCACACCCCTGTCAAAAGAGCATTCAGGCTGTACCTCCAAACCCGAAGCTAGAGCACGGATGGATTTGCATTTATGTATTGAGGTTGGCCTCAACTCTAATGCGAACCTGGGTTCTAAGAAGAGCATGACACTAGCACTCCTCCTGGCCTGAAATCAAAATAGCCTCCATGCAGAGAACACTCCATTGTGTGGGTGTTACCATGAGAACTACCTTAAAGATGGCAGCCCTCCAGAGCAATTTTCCCTCATTAAGAAAAAAAAAAAAAAAAAAAAAGTACCACACCCCTTGTTCATGCTTCATGTGGGATGTTGACTGCTTGCTCAATCATGTAATTCAGTATTTGATATTTCACATTTCCTTTAAGTAGCAGTTACATACACTAGAAAACCCTCCCTGACCTAACCGCCTTAAAAAATTTACAAACCACCAGTTCTGTCCTTTTATTTGACTGGAAAAGTAGTTACTGCTAGGAGGTACATAACTAAGACAATTACTTTACTCAAGCTTATAAACTAACACTACGAGGCAAAAATGAATTTTATCCTATATGACCTGGGATCAAATGGATTTCAATTCATGTATCTCAGTCGAGCAAAACCCAAGACAGTGTAAGACTGGTTTGGGCCTGCTTAGGATAGTGCTGTGGAAACCAGGCATCATCAAAGATGATCTTGGACGGTATCAAAAGAATTCAGCTGCTACAGTTTCCATAGGGTCACATTCTAGCGTATCGTGGCTGGGACACCAGGTCAGCTCAGCTGCCCCGGACCAGCTTCTCACAGTCCCACACAGGAATGGAGTTCACTTGTAACTTTCTGTTTTCTATTGGAATAACATTCTCATTCCTATCACTAAATCGCCCAATAAATGAATCTGACATTCTTGTGGGATAATTTGGGTGTAACTGGGCACACAACATCTGGGGTAGGTATACTTCCTCTATTCCTACCCTGTAGGCTAAGAGCTGTTCTGGCCTTATTACAATTTTACAAATTTGGAAGCACACTTAACTGTAATGTTCTAGCACACAACTCACCGAACCCTCTAGAAAATAACAAAGGTGGGCAGAATGTTATAGGATAGCAGCTTTCAGACTTACAGGTTAAACAACTTGGTTATTTACTGTGTGGGCCCTCTAACAATGAGCAGTACCACCAGTCCCACTTATTTGGTGTTTGAGAAACAGGGTCTCATTCTACAGTCCAGGTGGGCCTGGAACTCACTTTATAACCTCTACTGGCCCAGAGCTCACTGAGCCGAGTCTGGTCTCTACCTCTTCATAATCCTCCCGCTGCAGCCTTTCAAGGACTGGAATTACAGGGGAAGGGCCAACCATGTCCTGCTTTGTCATTTGTTTTAAATGCAAATTTCTGATTGGAACGACGACATTCCCACCATAGAGTAACTATCCTCTTGTTTGACAAGCCCACCTGCTAACTTTTGAGAGGTAAGCAAACAGAGTAGCTGGCTGCATACATTTCCTTTGGGGGGGGGGGCAGTACAGCATGACAATCTCTTAAATAAGGCAATGATCAAAACAGCTATACAATTGTAAGAGAATAAACACTTCCTTTCAACTTTACTTCCAAAGGTTCTATTTATATAACCAATCAAAGAAAAATAGTACCATCTTGATTAACCAGAATCCATGTATGCTGACATTAAACTATATTTCCCTTCTACTTGTCTTCTATATAAAAGAGAACAAATACCTGAAAATAAGGTTCTATCAAGGGCTGACATTGCAGAGTTCATTACAAGGCTAACCGATGTACCAGCTTTCTTCCCCAAATCAGAAGTTGATAGGAACGTGACTCTGTCTGAAAAACTGCAGCCCATGAGCTCAGGGCCTATAGGCTCTGCCAATTCCTAGGCTCCTTTAACATGATGCTGTACTTTTCTTCATATGTACAACAGCATTGAGTCTAGACAAGTCTATCTTGCAATAAATTAATCTATACTTTAAAAAGCCCATAAAAAAATAGTATTCAAGGTTCGTAGGACATAGGATTTTGGCCTTTTACAAAGAAGCACTTTGTCTCACAGAATTCTGAAGACACAATCATGCTTTAGTATTGTGAATGCCAAAGATTTTTTAAAATCAGACAAAATCTAAACAACAGGTGTCTTTCCCTCCCCAGATAAGAGCTTCAGAAGCATAACAAGTTGCTGTTAGCGGCTTGCCAGGACAGTTCGGCTTGCTCCGAGTCCTTCTGGCCTGAGACTGTTTTTCATTTCCATCCTTCTATCTGCCAGAAGGGTCTTTTTAGGTAAGGAGGCCATCTAAATAAAGCAGGAAACAAATTTCAGTTTGTGTCTTTCTTAGAAGTTACTAACCAGATGAAAATGAAGGACTGCACAGGGCAGAGCCTATGCACTTCATCCATGCAGCTCCACATGCAAGGGAGCACAGGAGCTCCCATGGGCTCATGGAGCGCTGCTGCATTTCAATATGGCTATGGGAAAGCCCGGCAGAGTGATGAGCATCTGCCTCAATATATGCTTCTTGCCAGTGTTCTACAGAAACCAAGTAACTCCTAACTGCTTTGCTGTGTTGGATACTGCTAAACATCTCAACTCACATACCTTTTCAAATCATATGAAGCACATAGTGCTGACTGGATTAACAGAGGGAAAGTAAGGAGAATGAGAAAAATCAAGTACCTGCCCAGGGTTACAAAGCTTGTGACAATTGAAACCCAGGCTACCTGACTTACGCCCAGTATTGCAGCCCCTGTCAGTGTTGCTGTGAGCTCCCAGTCCATACCATAGGGGGCAAAGGGGCTTCCAGCTGTCTTCCAAGGAAAGAAAGCAACCTCCTCCAGATGAGGCCACTTCCCATAAACATAATCCCTGTAATCAGCCAAAACACACGGTGATCCTGAAAGAAAAAAAGGGTTCATTCCAATCATAAAGGTTAGGTTCTTCAGAGACAAATCCTGCAAAGTTAAAAAGAAGCCTTGCTGTTACCATTAGAGCTCTTCCATAGAAAGAGCCAGGTACCTGGCCTGCAGCAAAGCCCTAAGAGGGTTACCACTCATACCTCAAGTGTCTCACGACTGGGCTCTTCTAGACCTAGGACTGAATGTAATGAAAATATCAGAAAGGATGTTGTAAAGGGAAGTTTTTGCTTCCCAGGTTGGCTCTAAGTTTCCTGGACTCAGGAAATCTCTGCTGCATCCTACCAAAGAGCCAAGTCTACAGGTGTGCACTGCCACATCTGGATCAAAAGGCATTGAAAGAAAACAAGGGGGGGGGTGGTGGGATGGGGTTGATAGGCCTTGAGTAAGAATATTGGAGTTCAGCATAAAACATGTTATCCCTTCTTAACTCCTTGGGGCCAAAATATGTTTGTTTATGTATTTACACTATCAACTGGGAAAATAAGAAAGAAGCACCATTCTAACACTCATCATCCTCTGTTTTACAAGCTCACTCACTAACTTTTGAAAGGCAGGAATACAATTAGTTGTATATGCTTCCTCTTGGTGAGGCATGTGACATAACAATGGTATTTTCCTTTGGAGTCTAAAGAAAAAAACATTTCACATGCACCTACTATATGATATTAGTCCAAAGATAATTTCATACAATACTTTTAGTGCACTCACATCTTCACTGAGCCACAACACACCAGTTACGGAATTTTCCACATCAATGTAGTATGACTATTCTTCAAAATGTTTACAATTTTGGGAAATTTCATACCTCATATTTTCAGGTTTCTACTAACACAACATGAATCTTAACAAAAGCTATGACCCGAGGTGAATAGGACTGAATCAGGCAACAAAACTGGGAGGTGAGGGGAGAGCTGTGCAGTCAGTGACTCTGAGACTGAACCTGGTGGTAGTTGACATGAGTGGCTGCAGAAGGAGGAGGTGAATCCAGAAGAAGCAATCAGATGTCCACAGACCTGGGAGTCTGGACTTATCCTAAGGTGGTCAGAAGGCACTGGAAAACCTTTATGCAGACTGTTGTGACATTCTTTTAAAGAACACTTTTTACAGATGTGTGGTCCTGAGAGATGGTGTTGGATAAACCACAGTGACAGCCACAGAAGCAATAAACTACATAGGATGGAGGGCCAAACATCAAAGTGCCAATTGTACATTCGACCACTGCTAGAAACCTTGTAAGACCTCCCCTGAAAATGCCAGGCTACAGTGGCTCTAAACACCTTGGCGTTAGATGAAAAGGCAAGAGGGCAGAGTGGAAAGCATCTATCTTTGGGCTGAAATCCTCCGGTTTTATTGATCTACAATTTACTAAGTTTTCTGAGCCCCCATTTCCTCACAAAGTAGGGGAAATATGTCTCTTTTTCATTTGTAATTTCGGTATCAAACAAGTCCTATGTATGTGAACTTCTAGGTGCAGGGAGCACACAGAACTAAAAATAAAATCCCTCATTACCACTGCCTCACAGGGTGGCTGTGTTAGTCAGCTTCTCCTGAGTATGTCTATATTCTAGGAGGAAATAAATATAGCAATGTAGGCTACAGACATAGCTATACACAGGGGCCAAGGACACCTGCCTGAATTCTAAGTGAGTTACAGCCTATGCTTAACTCTTTATGAGAATACACAGATGTAGCAGTTATCTTCACTGTTAACTAGATTTGGAATCACCCAATCTGTAAGGGTATTTCCGGAGAGGTTTAATGGAAGAGATTCACCTCTTCCTGTCTGTGGACCATGTGAGGAGATTGCATTTCCTGCCATGATGGACTGTAATTCCTTTAAACCGTGAGCCAAAATAAGCATTTTCTTTATGTTGCATTGCCAGGTATTTTGTTACAGTTATGAAAAATATAGCTAATATAGCAGGTCATATTTCATAAAACTCTTCTAATCATCCAAACATTAAAAAATTGTGTTATTTAAGAAATTATGTTCTTACTTCTTCAAGGGAAGATTCCAAATTCATGCCAAAAGCAACTCCCATTAGTCCAAAGAGTGAAAGAGAGAAGGTTCCCATGGTTAACTGCAGATTTAACCTCATCATCACATTGCGGTGGCTGGAGAGAAAACAACCAATTCAGACCAGGAAATACACACAAACCCAGCAAAACCTAGTGAAGGCCTATAGCGTCACTCTCCCCCTTCAAGAGGAAGTCTGAGATGATTAGTATCACCATAGAAACAAACATCTTGAGGAGGGAAGGCCCACCCTCACCATAGATGGCACCAATTCCTGGATGGGGACTTAACCAGCATCAAAAGGGAGAAAGTGAGCTGAGCATCAGCATTCATCTCACTGGTCCAGTTACTTCAAGTTTCTGCCCTCATGACTTCCTGCCAAACTGGGTCCAAATAAACCAGCATTGCTTCAGTTGCCTTTGTCAGGCATTAGGAAACTAAAAAGAAGACCCACTTATGGAGTGGACACAGACGTGATTGTGTGACTTCATCCAAAAACAAAACAAAACAAAACAAACAAACAAAAAAAAAAAAAAACCAAAAAGTTCTTTAAAAAGCGCTCTGTAGTATTAGTCATAATGGGGTCTTCTGTAGCACATCCTCACCTGTCTAGATTGATGAAGATGATGCTCTGTGAGTCATCAATCAGGACCCGAAGCTCCCGAGCCTCATTGGAAAGGTCCTCAGCTAACCGGTAGTAGTTTTCCAGCAGCAGCTCCATCTCCTCTGCATGGTCAATCCCAGTACTGCTCTTTTCACTTCAATTCACAGAGTTAACAGTCAACAAGCCTGAGCATGTGCAACACATACTGACCCCCAATTTCAGCCGCCAGTGAGAAAGCATGATGCACGCAGCCCTACACAGATGAGTGCCACTGTGCTCCATGGCCCCAATCCAAGAGGCATGCAAGCACATGACATTAGTGACTAGAAAATACAAATGTAAATCCTAGGCCATTATGAAGCACAAGAAGACCCAGACTAGATAGAAAAGAGCATTTCTTGGCGCCGGAAAGATGTCTCAGTGGTTAAGGGTACTGGCTGCTCTTCCAGGTGACTGGGTTTCATTTCCAGTACCCACATGGTAGCTCACAACTCCAGTTCTGGGAGGTCTAATGCCCTCTTCTGGCCTCTGTGGGCATCAAACATGTAAGTGGTACACAGTCATACATGCAGGCAAAACATTTGATTGAATACAATCAAATATAGTAGCAGCTAATTTCTCTGCTCCCTGGACGATGTGAGCAGAGGACTACCTTCTGATATCTGCTTTCCTGAACACACTGTATGTGGTCTGAAGCTGTGATGCACAACCAGGCATCATCTTTCCTGCTCGACATATTTAGTAAATGTGAATTCCATTGAGCCTCACTGTCTCTACTCTGGCATGTATGTACAAATTAAATGTTGGGAAGAAAGAATTTATTTATTATCGTTTATGTGGTGTGTACATGTGGAGATCAGAGGACAACTGTGGCACTGGTACTTTTACTTTTACTTTTACATGCACTCCAGGGACTGAACTCAGGTCGCAAGGTTTGCACATAAGCACTTTTACCTGCCGATCCATCTCATTAGCCCCTTTCCTTGCTTTTCAATGCTTTTTAGTGAACGAAGAACATGAATACTTACTTAGAACCATACCACTGTCTCCTGGAGAAGGAGACTCAAGTCTCCAGTGACTTTTAAATGCATTTAGTATCACACATCAGACAGTGAGTTTCACACTCTGTAGGTGTTTCTTGAACCTGCTTTGATATGTAGCTGTGACTATGCTCTATTAGAGCTGTTTCTTAAAAGCAAATGATTTCTAGGTTTATAAGTCAGAAAAAAATATGTAAGCTATGTGTTTATTAACAGATAAGACTTACAGAATCCAATCCACAATGTCTCTTCTATCATGCAGCTGTTGCCCTTTACTCCTTAGAGAACCTACTTCATCTCACATATGCTGCTTAGTGATCCATCCCTTGAGGATAATTGTGATGTTTATGTTCTCTTTAGCCCAGCTGTTAGCATCCAGGCACACCTTGGCCCTGCCCCTTGGGGACCTGGCAGAGCACGTCACCCCTCCACACATGGCAAGCAGTACCCTGACCCTAACCAGGGCAAAAGGTCCCTTTAAGAGACAAGCTTCACCCATTCCCATTCTCTTTCCTGATGTCCCTCTCAAGAGGCAGGCAGGTCTTTGCCTCTCTATTCTTTCTCCTCCTCCTCCCCCCCTTCCCTTCCCCATATAAGTTCTGCCTGTATGTGGTATTTGTCTCTCACCTACCATGGGATCCACCAAGGTTCCACACATGTTAAATATCACAACACCAGCGGCTGAAATGCAGTGCACACTGCAGTTTCACTGAGCTGGGCCACATGCAAGATAAAGTGACTAAGGGTGAAAAACACCTCGTCTCTATTTTAGACAAATGTAGGCTCACCCGAAGGAAGAAACAACACAAGGCAATACTTACAAGACCTGTGGGTCACTCCACTTGGTTAGACAGAGTTCTTCCAGCATCTCCTCCTCATCCAAAATCTCCAAAATTGACTCTTTGAAAATTTTAATGTCTGTTTCTAACTCAGAGAGACTGTAAAAACAGATACACAGCAAAGATCAGCAGTGTAAACATGGCACATTTCACTGTAAGGACAGTGTGCTTAGGGCATCTTACCAGTGGATACATCTATTGCTCAGTGTACATTGGTAAGAAACATTTCAACAATTATGCAAATTAACCATCCCCAAACCAATTAGTAAGATCAGCAGTGACACAGCTCCACATACAACTATTTTGGTGGCTTCCAAGGCTCTGTCATTCTAGAAATTTAAAGGTTAAGGTAAAATGCTTGGGCATTTATCCTTAGCTAAGAACTCTGCAATGAATTAGAGGTACACTGGGGAGGTTTAAGGTAAGAAAATTACAGGCCAGAAAAGTCAAAGGAATCCTATGACACACAGGTCAGGAAGAGTTACAACGAGGTTCATAATCTTGCTTGTGAGATACATGCAGGGAGGGGACAGACAGACCTTACTGTTTTCTAACCTGGCCTCCAACTTGAGGCAATCCTTCTGCCTTAGACTGCTGAGTGCTGGGATTACATGTGAGGTACTATACCCAGCTTGGAGTATGGTGTGGATTACATGATGACTAGTGCTACTTGACAAAGATCCAGCATTTTGACATCGCAGACCAACTTCTCCAGCACCTTTTAGCTTTCACTTTTAATGATTCTCAATATTAATGCCTTTACCTTTGGGAAATTTTGTGTAGGATTTGGTAAAGGATAAAAATGTGTACAAGAGCCTCTCTAAACAAAATAACTCTTTGGAAAAAAAATCCCTGCCACCAAAGAAACCAAGAATTCCATTGTGCCCTCCTAATGACACAAAGAACAAGACAGATAGAGATTTACTAGATACACCTGATCCAAAGGATAATGCTTACAATCCAGATCCAGAGCCTGAGGCTACTAAGGGCAAGAGTTCAGTTAATAAGTGTAGAGGAATCAGAATGGTAAAGTAAAATGGGAAGAGAGTAAGACACCAGGACCTTCCCTTTTGGGAGTGTATGAGGGGAACAGGCCCATAGAGTAAATCTAAGACACTGTAACATAATGCCTGCTTTCCAGAAGAAGTCCTTTAACAATTAAAGGCTGTGAGTGGTAGAGTGCTTAGTGGTTAAGAGTATATACTGCTGTTCTAGAAAACCTGTTTGGTTATCAGTACTTAAAAGGTGTAAAGGGGTGTGTGTGTATGTGTGTTGGGGTGGTGACAAACACCCATATTTACCTTTTGCCATTTTGAAGTAGGACATGCAGCTTGCTTCTGTCAATAGAGGAGTGCTTGGGGTCCACTAATGCATCCAGGGTCTCAAGGATCAGTGGCTGCAGGATACTAAGTTTTCCCCGAAGGGTGTTGATCTAGATAACAACATGGCCTTTCATAAGAATTAAAACAACCTTTTTAGAACTTAGGATCAGTGAAGCCTCTGATTAAACATAGACATTTGTGCTAGCATTTCAGAACACCTATTTATAAATGACTCAAAAGCTACATCTCCTGGGTTAAAAGAGCAACATGTAATGCTGTCACTAGGCTCAGAATTAACTCTCAGAACAGTCTTCCTTTATAGACAGATGCTAAGGAAGGACTACGAAATGATTTGCTAATGACATCCTGGGGACTGGAGAGATGGCTCAATGCCTAAAAGCACTTCCTGATCTTCTAGAGGACCAGAATTTGGTTTCCAACAGCCATGTCAGGCAGCTCACAACTGTAACTCCAGCTCCAGGGGATCCAACACCCCCTGGCCTCTGCTGGCACCTATATATGTGTGCACACATATACAATAAATATAAAATCAATCTTTAGAAAAAAATCCCGAAATTCCATGCCAAAGCACACATTTCACTTTAGGAATAGTTGTTTTCTGTAAACAGAACACTGTTCAAAATTGCTGTGGATAATGACCTTTTAACAACTGAAACTTGGGATGGAGATGTAGTTCAGGTGGTAGAGAGTTTGCCTAGCATGCATGAAGTCCCAGGTCTGATCCACATCATTGCATGAACTGGATATACTGTCATATGCCTATAATTCCAGCCCTCGAGAGGTAGAAGAAAGCTGAAGCCTGACTTGGAGTTAAGATACATTAAATCACTGTAAGGTTCAAAGTATGCTTTTCTTATGCTAACACAAGCATGGCTATATTCAACAGAATAAGTTGATAACAGAATAGCTGTTAAGATTAAAAAACCAGGGGGCAAATGACACAAGACTAATGAATAAAGCAACAGAATTAAGAATGCTACTACACATGTTTATTTCAGAAGCACAACCCATCTTCTGACTTGGAAGTTGCGGGCCCCAAATCAGGGTGCCTGCTGTAGATTCTTTTATTTTGTGTAGCAGGATCCACTTCCAGGTTCAGAAGACCTGAAGTGAGATATTAAGGTAGACCTAATGTTTCACTGTTCTAGAGCTGGACTTTATGTGGCTGGGAGGATCTCCTTTATTTGAAAGTAGATCCCATGAGGAGATGGTTGGCTTGATCCTATAATGCTCTTTCAGAAGGGAATCTTCCAGGGACTCCACTGTACAGGCAAAAATTGCTATTTCACACTAGACCTCTGAGCTCCCTCTGTTCTCACGTAGCTGACCGCATCTGCTCCCTTATTATGAGCTCCTGAGTCAGCCAGCTGTCATGCACCACTGTTTGCACTGTGCTATTGCTCCTGCCCCAGTAGAGAGGGAAGCATCTGTTCCCTCACTGAAGCAAGGGTACTACTCTGCTGACCTTTCAAATGTTCTCTCTATCTCCCACTCTGGCTAAGATGTTCCCAGCACTAACTCCTGATTGCAGCTAGATCCTGAAAAGTACAATCCAGACTAATTAGGGGCAGGAAAAATCGTAAAAGATGAGAAGGGCCTGGGAAGGCAGTGGCCACTTTGACTGGGCTTGTGCAACTCCCAGAAATCTATTAACTGCTGATTTTACAGGGCAGGGGGTCATTAGAAGAACTGTGGTTCCTGTCAGTCTAGGTCCCAAACAAGAGGTGTCACCTCCTTGAGTGGCTCAAACAGGACTGCGTGACAAATGGTGCATTCACGTGTGAGCACTTGCATTACACAGTTCAATTTGAAGAACGAAGTGTGAGGTCCCCAAAGCTCACTTACATCCCAACTTACGGTCTCCTGAATTCTCATTCCATAATATGGTCACTGAAAGTGCACAAACAGGTGTGGCGGCAGGTATATGTAACATCAATACTAGAGAGGATGAAGCAGGTGGACTACCTTAGTTCAAGGCCAGCCTGGTATACAGGGAGATCCCATTTCAACAAACAAACAAACAAACAAACAAACAAACAAAAACCCATAAAAGCATATAAAGAGAGCCAATTCGAAACGTGCTCCATTAGTTTCCTCTCAAGACTCTTTAGGTTTACTTGGCTGGGTCATAAAGCCGAAGGATGAAGGTGTCTCCCTGGAGGAGCTTACAAGTGACTGCTGTAGCTGGGGAGAGCAGCTTTGAAATAGTATTAACTTGTCTTTACATTCATTCCTGACAATACATCCAATCAGGCTTACCCAATACTGCAGGAGTGCTTCAATAGCTCTGAACTCAAACGGCAACGGGTATGTGACAAGCTGACCTTCTCCAGCCAGCTGGGATGGCAGTTCCCGGAACAGCCACTGCTCCAGGTTTAAATTCCGATAATCTAGTATCAGAAGATACTCTGGAGTTATCACAGCCTTCAAATACTGGAGAAGCAACAGAAAAGAAGGTATGTGTACACACACATATATATACATCCATCAAGATGCAGGTTATTAAGCTGGAGGAAAAAGTAAATTTCAAAACTGAGTTCATTTTACTAATCTTAGACTAAAACTAAACCAAATCAGTGTTTATTTGGTTTTCTAAAAAGAGCAAGCACACTTACTTAGGCTGGTATCCACATACAATATAAAAGAGTTACAGAGTTACATTATTGACTTAGAGCTCTTCTAGGCTTAGTGATGGAGATCTGCCAGCTGGTTTTATTTTAAGCCTCAGCTGGCTTAAAGGCACTGGCCCCTGGCCAAGCCTCCTGCACAATTGTTTTAGGGAACTTTGTTTTTCACTTATTCCCTATTTTCTCCTGCATTTCCTGGCAGATATCTTGCTATGGGTTTGGATTTTTGGGCCAGGGTTTCTTGTACTGTGAACCTGCTGTATAGCTGAGCATGTCCTTAACATCTGCTCTCCTCCAACTCCTTCGCGGAACCCTTCTACACAGCCCCTACATACAGACACTTTCCCAAGTCATGGCTCACTGGCCTGCTTTCTTGAGCCCCCAACTCAAAAGGCATGATTAACTTTCTCTAAATAAGATTTTATTCATTTTATTTTATGCTGTTTTGCCTGCATGTATCTATGTGCTTGGTGCTTGTGGAGGTCAGAAGAGGCCATCAGATTACCTGGAATTTAAATTTTAGATGGCTATTAACCACTACGTGGGTGCTGGGCATCAAACTCAGGTCCTCTGCAAGAGTAACAAGTGCTCTAACCACTGTACCACCTCTCAGGCCAATTATTTCTCTTCTTATGCATTCCTCCCCTTCTGGTACCCACTGTTGTTTTCTCCTCCCAGACTCACTAAAATGGTCCTTGAACTTTAAAAAAGGTCAAGTTCTGGGTAGACTTTTAGAAGTGGTTTAGTTTAATCATAGTAGTTTGGCTCAAATGGGAAGTGGTTCCTTTCGACAGACAAGACATAGCTCAGTGCTTCAAACTACAACAGAAATAAAAAAAATTTCTAACTAGATGTGAATAACCAGGATTACATAGTGAGACCCTGTTTTAAAAATTAAAGAAGTAAGTTTTCTAAAGACAAACTATAATTTCCTCTGTTAAAAGAGACGTGGAAAGGTGGAGAAAAGACTTAGTGGTTAAGAGAACTGGATGCTCCTTGAGAGGACCCAGGTTCTATTCCTAGAACCCACACAATGGATCACAAACACTGCAACTCCAATTCTAGGGCATCTGATGCTCTTTTCTTGTCTCTGAGGGTACTACATGCATATAGTACATAGACATATATGCAGGGAAAACACCCTTATACATAAATAAAGGTTAAAATGAAAGAAAAAAGATTTGGTAGCCTATGACTATTTTATGGCACAAAAATTAGGATTGGTCTTTCTTATATGAATAAGCCTTCTAGTATTTAATTATGAAAAATGTTCTTAAAAGCTGAGAAGTTAAATAGTGTTATTTATCTGTTCATTTATTTGTATACTATAGTATAATATCTGGGTCCCATAGTTTAGCATCCTGCTTAATTAATTTCATCTCACACAAATTTACCAACACAAAGAGATACTGTTTAGAAGCAGTGGCTATTGACACAAGAATGAAGATATTTTCTAGAGAAAAAATAATTTGGGAGCAGATTGCTTTTACTGTGATTATTTTGATTACATGTGTAGATTAAGAGACAAAAATCTAATCTAAGACAAATATAAAAAGCAAGTACATGCATATTTCAGGGCCCAACATCTCTGATGGGCCTCTTGTTTATTTCACAGGTCCAAACAACTGAGGTCTACATTAACTGAACCACTAAAGAAATTCAATGCAGTCAGTGTCTTCTGAGAAGGCACGTGAAGAACAACAATTTTTAGAAAGTGTCAGATACAAATTTAAACTAAGGTTTCAAAATTTAACAGACATTCCTGGTGTACATGGAAAACCAGATGCTTCTTGGTAGCCAAGGTTAAACTGTACTTAACAGGATACAAATGGAAAAACATCTATTTCAGCTGCCGTGGTGGCTTATGCTTAAAATCCCAGCACTGAGGAGGCAGAGGCTGTATGACCAGGTCAACCTCATCTTTGGCTACATAGCCAGTTTAAAGTAGCCTTGGCTATACAAGGGACTATCATTATAAATATTCTTTTTTGTGTGAAACTACAGACTAAATTCAAAGGCCATTGAAGATCACAGTCAGAATTTTCCCAACACAAAAAGAGAACAGCATCATGCCTGTTGGGAACCACAATCCACTCAGAACAAGTTCTACTCTTATAATACATTCAGTAATAAGTTCGTTCTCTCTCTCTCTCTCTCTCTCTCTCTCTCTCTCTCTCTCTCTCTCTCTCTCTCTCTCTCTCTCTCTCTCACAGGTCCTGGCTGTTCTGGAACTTGCTATGTAGAGCAGGCTGGCCTTGAACTCACAGAGATCTGCCTGCCTCTGCCTCTGAGTGCTGGGATTAAAGGCATGTGCCTTCACCCCCAGTTTTGCAAAGATTCTTTTAACCTACATATTGAGGCAGCTGGTCAGGATTCTGGTGAACTCAGCCACACAGCCCTTACCTCCATCCTTATGATAATCCTGTTGTTCCTGGTCGTGATGCTCATTACATGTTGAAACCTCAAGTCTCTGGCCTGGAGTGCTAATTCATGATACAGTTCAGTTTTCTTCCTCTCTGTAAGAGAAACAGAGTGGGTGCAACTAATAGTCCAAAGAATGTGGGCTCCTACAGTGTCCCTCCCAGCACTTTTCTGTTATTATCAACAACAAAGGCTTACATGAGTTTTAATACCGATTCTTACCATAAAAGAAGATTCACAATAACTCAAATTCTTCCTTTGCTTCTATATTTTTCTAGAACATTTCACTGTGTTCAGCAGCCCATTGGAGACCAATATAAAAACCACAACCAAGCATGATAAGAACCTACAGCAATTTCTACCTCTGGACATAGGCTGACTTTCTGAGAGGATATCATATATCCCAGCCTGGCCTTGAACTCTTTACAAAGCCAAAGATGACCTCAAACGTGATTGTAGGCATGCAGAACCAAATTCAGTTGTTGCTGGGACTAAATCTAGGTATTTCAGCATTCTAGGCAAGCTATACCAACTCAGCTGTATCTCTAGCCCACAGTCAAATTTTGTCTTGAACATGAATTTTATTAACTGGAGTTTTAGGTTTATTTATGTATCTGAGTGTTTTGCCTACATACATAGATACACATCCCATGCCTGATGTCTGTGGAGGCCAGACTGCTGCAGTGGACCCCAGGAATTAGCATTACTGATGGTTGTGAGCCACTGTGTAGCTGTTAAGAATTTAACCTGGGTTCTTTCCAAGCACAATAACTGCTCTTAGTTGCTGAGCCATTTCTCCAGTTCCTATATTTTCTATTTTTACCATTATAGCATCATATTCAGTATTGTGAATCTATGAATGAATGAATTTAGTAATTTATTACTGGACAAATGAAAAGTGAGAAAAGTTGATATTCCTAGTAGATTCTCCCATTTGAAAACTAAGTTGATTAGCTAAGAATATGGCAGAGACAGAAACTTGTGATAGGCCGGGGACAGCAGGATCTGTATTTGTGTCAAACTACACCTTCAACAGGGCTGTAAGCAAAAAAGCTTAGGAAGGAGACCCTGGCACAAACACAAGGACCTAAGCAAGGATGGAACAGGGCCACCAGGCTGCAGGGGAGAGCTGAAACTGGAGCCTCAAGCAAAGCTATACCTAGCTCCATTTTTAGGAGTAGCTGTCCAGAGGCAGACTCTCACATGACTGCCACCTAGTGCCTTACACCTCCATCTCACTGCAAGGGGGGTGGAGGGCAGATGGATGACAACAACATGGGGCAGTTTTTCTACTTTAAACCTGTTTCATGATGACTAGAAATTGAAGGGCTGTGTAAAGGAGACTGATAGAAGAGACACAGGAAGAGGACAGCACCTCCATATTCAGCTCTACTCTAAACACCCTGGGAGTCCAAGTGACTCCTGCCAAAAGGAAGTAATGCAGAGAACTGTACACAGCAGCTGCTACTCCCACGAGAACTGATGAGCAAACGTTGAGGAGGGACCTCCTTCAACACAGTAGCAAATACAAACAACACTGTACTCCAACACTACAATTTCCAATTCTCCACCAAATTCAGTAGTCCACTGATAAAGATACTCACCAAAAGAGGTAACATTTCCTTCTTTGTCAAACTTTGTCTAAAGATAGATCATAGAAACAAATATTAATCTCAATTCAGTATATTTATGTTCAGAGAAACAGCCTCAAAATTTCGAAATACAGTTAAAAATCATATCTGACCTTAAGTTAAATATAGCTGCAGAAGCCAGAAGAAAAATCCCCCTTTTCTTTGCTAATATAAACCTATTAGACTGACTTCCTCTAGAAATACATTCAGGATAATCAGTCCTATCTCCAGGTAACCTTGATTTGGGTAACAGAGGCCTGATGAGTGAATGTACTGGGCTGGACATACTCATTATGGAGGCCCTGGAAGTGTGTTGCCAGGAAACCTGGGGGACTCTTAAGCCATGGATCTTACATCTCTTTTGCAAATTCATCAGCAGGCTAGGAAAACCTCAAGTGGCTGCAAGAACTTTCTGGCTGGGAAAGGACTTGACAGTGATCCCTGGGTTGGGGACATCACTCAGTGGAAACAAGATGCCCTGATTTGTAGCCCTTTATCCTTCTCAGCAGACTGGGACCAAGGAGTGGCTATGTCATAAATCTAAATGTCTTTTCAGAACTAACAGTCTTTTGTAGGCCCTGCAGAATGAGTAGAAACGTACAGAAAAGGTGCCTGCCTGCAGCAGTCCCAGCACATATGAGGTCACATTAGTTTCTGCTCAGTAGAGGGACACTTTTCTGTACTGCTTGTGCCGGTCACGGTTGAAGGTGTCAAATGTGAAGGGCTAGACTGTTCCACTTAAAAAAAAGTAAACAGAATCCAAGGACAGGTCTTGGTGAAACACAGACCTTGGGCTACTGCTTTGGAAACAGTGTAGGCTACGTTAGCTGAACCACAACAAACCCTGTAATACTTCAGTCTGCTTCTCATGAACAAAGATCTGATCAACAACAGGAGGGAAGAAGCAGCAGAAATGCCAAGGTCAATTTTTAATAAAGGCTTTGTATCTGTGAAATACGGACTAGCTTGCCTTAAGATTTATTTCTTAAACACACTCATTGTTGAAAATAAGAAAAGTTGTAAAACCAAGTCAAACGATTTGACAACTATGCCAACAATAACTTACAGGGTATCTTCCAGTGTCCCTGTAAAACATACCTCTACCAACACATATTAAACATTTTCACATCTCAAAATGATAAAATCATTTTTCTTTGATGGGAACCTTTTCTGAAAGACAGCACATAAAACTGACATTTAAATGTAACCAGCTCATTTTCTCCATTCATTCTTCTCAATAGAATCATTAGTATTCTTGGGAGAAACTTACTTCTTTCAGTCCTCATCTGACTATTTTCTTTGGGGAAGGAGAGATGGTTCACTGTGTGGACCAGGCAGGCCTTAACCTCTAATCCATTTGCCCCAGTCTCCTGACTACTGGGGTTATACAGACTAGGACTGATTCTACTGTGCAGCTGATCAGCTCCAGAAAACTGACCAAGCATTATTACTTTGCAAGTAATTCTGCAGAAATGGGCATGGTGCTTCAGGACTACCAATTCCAGCACTTGGGATGCTGAAGCAGGAAGATTGTCATCAGTATGAGGCTAGCCTGGGCTAATTAGTGAGTTTTAGCTCAGCCTGGTCAGTAGAGTAAGATTTCTCAAAAACACAAAGCAAAACCAAACCAAACCAAACAACAAAAAAGAAACAAGCAATTCTGAGATGCTTCTTATGTCATATTGGCCATAAAGAAAATTTCTTTTAGTTAAGTGGTGGTAGTGCATGCCTTTAATCCCAGCACTTGGGAGGCAGAAGCAGGCAGGTCTCTGAGTTCCAGGCCAGCCTGGTCTACATGGTGAAACCGAAACCGTGTCTTGAAAACATAAGAACTAACCCTCTAGCTGGGCATGGTGCTATACACCTTCAGTTCCAGCATGTAGGTGGCAGAGGCTGATCCTCAGTGATCCAGGTCACCCAGTGAAGCTTCTTACACAGTGAGGCCCTGTCTTAAAGTTCTTTAAGAAGCTAATGTTAATTAAACCCAAATGTTTGTAAAGAATAACATATGCTGGACAGTTATTACTGTCCAGGCACCATTTTCAGGATTTGGTGAGTCACTTTTATTTTTAAGGTAGTTTTTATAAGGTGCTTTAACTTTTTTTTTTTTTTATGAATGTGTCTGTGTATGTTTGTGTATGTACCTGAGAACAGGAGAAGGTGGTGGACCCCTGGAGCTGTGGCTAATGGAGCTGTGAGCCACCTGGTTCGGGTGCTGAGAGTGAGATTCAAGTTCCCAGGAACAGCAGCGGATGCCTGGCTTTCTCTCCAGCCCCTAAAGCTTGTCTATTTCTCATTCAAAAATGAGCCAATTAAAATACAATGATGCTATCTCAGCTTCCTTCAATCCTCACGACTACCTAAGGTGGTTTATTCCTAGTTAGTCATGAGAAAACCAAGGTACAAGATGTCACAATAACTTGTTCAAGTTCCCCAACAGCAAGAGAGCACACACTGAGGCTTAAACGCAGGAAGCCTGGCTCAGGTCAAGCACTTACTCTTAAAACCTTTTTTGGAAACCATAAAAGCTTACAAAATAAGCTGTAAAAACAATCAACTTGTAATTTAACTTATGTTACTTTTCGCTAACATTTTTGCCACCAAAGGCTTTATTTCTTAAATACACACATGTGGGCCCCTCAAACACAGAAGTGTCATTAATTCACTTCGTTCCCCCTGAATCATTTCAGAGAGTCGAGATCACACCCACCTTCCAGACATGCACTCAAATACTGCACTCTGCTGCCTTTCTAACATCTTCTAAGTCTTTCAATGGCTGGTAGCTTCCAAGGCATTCTAAATAAACTCAGAAAATCTGGAAGTGTTCACAAAGGACACTTTGGGGTAGAGATGTAGCTCAGTTGGTAGAGGGCTTGCCTGGCATACAAAAATCCCAGGTTCAATTCCTAGGACCACATAAAGCAGGTGTGGTGACACATTAAAACTTAGCATGGTGAAGCACACCTAGGACCGGTTCAAGATCACCCTAGACCATATAGTCTAAGTTATGTGAGACCTGTTTCAAAAAAGAAGAAACTTCAGCTGCTGGTAGGAACCCTTAACATGTACTATATAACTGTTCCATTCTACTGAAAAAGAGAAAACTATGAGTCGCCATTTGAGCAGCCTGTTTCTACAGCAAAAACCCAATCATTAGTAAAGCTTCAAGAGTACCACTAAACCAATCTAAGGCATGACAAATGCTTCTTGCAGGTTACTGGATGAGGCGTACTCACCACAGCAAACACCTGGGCCACGCTGGCTAAGGTAGCTTGAGAGGCATCGGAGGTTCTAGACCGGTGAACATCACCTAAGAAAAAAAAATTAGAGAATGAATGTCCGTGGGCATGATCAGTTTTCCTGGAAGCTCAATTGCAATTCTCACAGTACAGGGAACCTTCAGGACACCTTGCATTTTAAAATTTTTACCTACTAGAAAAAGAAACACTTGTTATGTCAGGGTTCTAGCATTATGCCAGGATTCTAGCTGTTCTCCCCTAACTATTCTGTTCCTGTTCCTTCAAACTGCTTTCATGCACTAAATTCATACAACTTGCTAACTATCTGAAGTCTGTCCTTTCTCTTATGGTTGGAAAGGTCAGCTGTAGCGGAGACAATCTCAGTGCCTGTCTAATACGCACAAGGCCTTGGGTTTTATCCCAAGCACTGCCCAAAATAAGTAGGTAAATAAATAACACTTACTTTTGTTTATTGGGTGTGTGTGTGAGCACTGTGGAAGTCAGAAGTCACACTGTAGGTATCTATTTTCTCCTTCAACCTTGTAAACTCTAGGGACTGAACAAGTGTCAGACTTTAAAGTGTCACCAGGATTACTACTCTGGATTTTAATGCTTATCCTAAAAGCTCCTGCATCTTGCAGACCACTTGGTTCCCAAGCATTATCAAGGGAGGGAAAGGCACATAATAAAAAGACTTACTGTGTGGGGAAAGAGGTTGACTGACAGCAAAAAGTACCCAAAGGCACTGCTCTGTTAGGACTGTTTGTTTCTGAGCAGAGCCTGCACTCACATTTGTAGAAACACTTTCTTCACATTTCCCCATTGGGTGGCAAAAGCACCAACAGCAAAAGGACTCCTCTTTCTTCACTCAGAGCTCCCTGGCTGACTGCTCACACACTGTTTAAGAGTAGACTTCAAGAGTTAATGCTCGCCACCGGCTTCAGATTCTTCAACCTCACTTCCGGGAATTCTCTATTCTATACCAGGGCAACTGTATAATTGTATGCATGTATCCAGAAGGGAAATTAACAAAACAAACAGGATTACATCCCAATCTTGCTAATCCTGGTAGCTCATGCTATCCAGCTTCGAGTTTGGTCTGGGCTCAACAGTGAGCTCCAAACCAGCCTGGGCTAGAATGAGACTCTGTCTCAAAACAAGCAAATTAAAAACCCCAACCTATTCTTTCTCCTAACTCCCTCTCCACTCCCTCCATGCTCCCAATTTGCTCAAGAGATCTTGTCCCTTTCCTCCAGAGATCTACAAGGATGAACCAACTAGCAATCTAAGCAATAGTGGAGAGGCTACCTTAAATGCCCTTTCCTGATAATGAGATTGACGACTGACTACCTTATATGCCATCCCAGAGCCCTCATCTAGTAGTTGATGGAAGCAGAAGCAGACATCCACAGCTAGACTCTAGCTAACTCCTGGAATCCAGTTACAGAGAGGGAGGAGTGATGAGCAAAGGGGTCAAGACCAGGCTGGAGAAACCCACAGAATCAGCTGACCTGAACAAGGGGGAGCTCAAGCATCCCAGTCTGAGAGCTGGGAAAGCAGCATAGGACTGACCCAGACCCCCTGAATGTGGGTGTTAGTTAGGAGGACTGGGCAGTCTATTGGGGCTGTAGTAATGGATCAGTTTTATCCGTAGTATATGAATGGACTTTGGGAGCCCATTCCACATAGAGGGATAGTTTCCCAACCTAGACACATGGGGGAGGAGCTAGGCCCTGCCCCAAATGATTTGACAGACTTTGAAGACTCCCTATGGGGAGCAGAAAGGGGATGGGCTGGGGTTTGGTGGGGGTGAATACAAGTGGATGGGAGAGTGAGAGAACTGGGATTGACATGTAAAACAAGTGTGTTTCAAATTTGAATAAAAAAAAAAGGAGGAAAAAGAAAAAAACAACCTAGCAGAATTCTGTGATATGAAAGCAGAAGGGGGCAAACGAAGGCAAAAATGCCAGCGGGAGGGGGAGGAGTGTCAAGAAAAAGTATGTATAAAAGTACAGTCCTGGAACCCATGACTTTCGGCTCAGCAGCTGGCTCCGCCAGCAAAAAAAAAAAAAAAACAAACACTGCCTGCTGTCAAGCTTTAATAACTGAGTTGGATCCAGGAGAGAACTAACTCGGGCGAGCTGTCATCTGACCTCCACACACAAACAATTTGAGAAAGGCACGCGCATGCTAGGACTTAACACTTAAACGCTACATTTAAAACGACAACAAAGACAACGGTTAACGCTTCTAACTGCAGAATTCAGAAGGCTGAGAATGGGGACTTCTGCCAGTTCGCGTCTATCCTGGGCTACAGAGACCCTGTCTCACAACAAGCAAACTAGAAATCACAATCAAGTTCCCGCAGTGCTGGCTTGAGAACTGCGGGCTGTGTGAGCAGGGCAGGTCGCGCAGCGGTGAGGACGGCGGGGGCCCCGAGGGACCAGCGTACCTGCAGCGCGGGGCAAGCTCAGCGCCTTCGGGCTCCGGGCGAGCAGCGGGGTCGCACGACCGCAGCAGGCAGCGTGGCTCAGGCGCGCCACACAGAGGGCCCGCCGGGACTGCACGGCGCGGGGCAGCAGCCTGGGCAGGCAACGTAGGCCTTCCATGGTGCGAGGGTAACCGGGAGGCGGCAACAAGACGCCGGCCCGGCATGCCGGAACCCCGGTGGACCCGCGAACCGCGGCAACCGCGCACAGCGCCTGCGCGAACCGTCCCGCGCCTGCGCGCTGCTGCCCACGCATGCTCAGGCACGGACCGCCTGTGCGTGCGCCTCCGGTGTCCCGTGACTGACGGAGTCTGCGTCCTGTACCCCGGCTGGCACCTGCAAGTGTGAAGGTAGACAGCAGAGTAGCTCAGCTCCGAAAGTGTCCGTTATTTCCATAAGCTACTTTCTGGAAAGGTTCCATATGTATAACGAAATATGTAATTTGGAGATGAGGAAGTTACCACCATTCGTAAATCGTTTAAATTTTATTTAAGCCGAATGGGTTAAAACTCATGTAGAAGGGATAGTGTGTTGAACATTTGCTATAGATCAAGGAACAAGGAAAAAAAAAAAAAAAGCGAACGGAGTTGTGGCGCACGCCTGTACTCAGGAATTCAAGGTCATTCTCAGCTAGTGTCAGGCCAGCCTGTACAACTTGAGATCCAGTCTCTAAGCCCCTTCGCCACTGACACCCCTCCCTGAGAAATTAAGAATGCCTCCGGATTCGTTGCCCACTTCGCAATATTAACGACAGACATGAGTTTCAGAGTTCCCTTCGTTAATATATATGAACATGGAGCTACGGGGACAGTGGACCATTACCTTGTGGGGCATGGAAAATTAAGTAGCTGTAATGGGAGGCAGTGGACAATAGACATGGATGTTTGACTTGGACACTGAGGGCTAGAAAGTACTTTAACATTGCTGCTAGGAAGAGCCTCGAGTGTACAGAAAATACTCGATAGAATTTTCTTTTTACTAGAACTTTAATTATGTGCTAAATATTTGAAAACGTTGTGCCAGAAAACATTCCTTTGAGAAAAGTAACTATTAAAAAACAAAAACAAACAAACAAACAAACAAAAAACCCACTCATTCTAGACCTTTGCAAAACCTTAAGCAAATGCTGGCAACTGTTCAGACACATATGGTCTTGTGACAAAGAATGGCAAAGAATTGGAATTTAAAGAGAAAAGGATGAGATCCATTGGGGGATTATGAGGCAAGAAATAGTGGCAAGTTAATAATTTGATTTATGTTTATTCAGATTTTTTAAAAGCAATATTAGGACAGACATTGAACACAACACCTTTTATATGTGAGGCAAGCCTCTGCCCAGCAGTTGGGAGGTAAAAGATGTAGAATCAGGAATTCAAGGTCATCCTCTACTGGTTGTCTAGCTCATTTGAGTCTAGCCTGACTTTAAGAGAGTCTGCCAACAAACAAACAAACAAACAAACAAAAAACCAAAACAAGTCTGGCTTGGGGAAGCATGCCTTTAATCTCAGCACTTGGGAGGCAAAGACAAGAAAACTTCTGTAAATTCAAGGTCAGCCAGCACTACACAGTGAGTGAGACTTCCCAAAAGAGAGTCACATTTAAGTATGTTTACAGAAGCTATTTGTGAAACCCATTGTAGTGATGAAAACCTATGATCTTAGCACTGTATAGAGAAAGCAGGAGTTCAAGGTTACCTTCAGCTACACAGTGAGTTTCATCCCAGCATGGCTACATGAGACTCTGTCAGGCAGACAAACAAAATAAAACAATAGATGGTAGTAGATATTGGTGGCTTTTGGAGTTACTGTGCCCCAAAAGCTGAAAAGCTTAAGTGAAGAGGCTTTGGTATGCTTTTTTTTTTCTAAAGAGCCTGGCTACCTATCATATTTTATCCCCCCCCAAAAAGTCAACAAAAAGATGGCAAGCTGGGTTTGGTGTTTGGTGGTATATGCCTATAACCTAACCTAAGCAATAGGAGTCAGGGTTAACCTCAGCTACACAGTGAGTTCAAGGCTAACTTTATCTTAAAAAAAACAAAAACAAACAAAAACAAAACAAGAAAGCAACTGCCAGGCAGTGGTGGCATACACCTTTAATCCCAGCACTGAGGAGGCAGGGGTAGGTGAATCTCTGTGAGTTCAAGGCCAGCCTGGTTTACAGAGTGAGTTCCAGGACAGGCTCCAAAGCAATGAAGAGAAACTCTGCCTCCAAAAACAAACAACAATAACAAACAAGCAACTTTCTGTTGTGGAATATTTGTACACTATGTGAAAATTTGTTGCTGTGATTAGTGTAATAAAGAGCCAAATGGTCAATAGTGAGGCAGGAGAGGCAACTTTTCTGGCCAGAGAGAGGAAAAGGAGGAGGAATCTAGGTACATGGATTTTGCCAGCAGACTCAGAACAAGTTGGACATATGGGAAACATAATAGAATGTAGATTAATATAAATGGGTTAATTTAAGTTATAAGAGCTAGTTGAGAACAAGCTTAAGCATGCGCGCGCGTGCGCACATACACACATACACACACACACACACACACACACACCACATTGAATGCCTTTGGGGGCCAGCAGAGTGTATTGAAGTCCCTAAATTGGAGTTACAGGTAGTTATGAGCAGCCATGTGGTGCTGGGAATCAAGCCCAGATCCTTTATTAGAGCATCAAGTGCTTTGAGCTATCTCTCCAGCCCATGCTTCTACTTCTTAAAGGTTCCACCACCTAAGCACTGACACTGGGGACCAAGCTTCCAGGACAGGCATCTCTGGGGGGACTCATGTAAATCATATCCAAACTGACCCAAGTTAACCATGTGGGTTTGGAAACCATGTAGTGCTTTGAGTATGTTGGTAGAGTGGTGATGGTTATGTTGATTGTCATAAGGGTTTAGAATTTTCTCTGGCTCTAGGTTTCACTAAGCTCTATAGGTCTCCTGAATATAACTCAATGCAGATGCTCAGGATTGACAGTGGAGGAGGGGAGTTCCCATGGGGTGGGTTTTCAGCAGGATTCTGAGTTTCTCTATTCTTTTTGTTGATGGGGTATTCTTACTACTGTTAACTTGCATTCGGAAGATGGGGGTGTGTGTCCTACTTTTTCTAGCACACTTATGGCCTCCCTGCCCCATATTTATTCATTTTAATTGCTAGGTTTTCTCAGGGCAGTAGTTTTCTACTCTTGTTTAACTATGAAGGGCTCTTGTATTAATTTTCCCAAGAAGTCCAGAAATTCCCACCATATTTCATCAAATGAAATTAGCCTTCTGTAGTAACTGTTCACACTACATTTGTCATTTCAGTGAGCCCATCTCACAACTTTTCCTGTTGCTGTGACTAAACAACTTGAAGGAAGAGTTTCTCTTGGCTCATAGTTGGGAGGATCACAGTCCATCATTGTGGGAAGGATATGGCAGACCCTATTCAAACCAGGAAGCAGAGGAAGGGGAAAGCCAGTACTCATCTGGCTTTTGTCTTTTCTCTTTTCAATTCAATCCAAGTCTCCAGTTCATGCACACAGTGCCTCCTGAATTCAGACCAGTCCTTCCCCTCAGTCAAACCTCTTTGGGAAAGCTGGGCATGGTGGCACACACCTTTAATCCAGCACTCAGGAGGCAGAGGCAGATCTCTGTGAGTTCAAGGCCAGCCTGGTCTACAAAGTAAGTTCCAGGCCAGCCTGGGCTACACAGTGAAATCTTGTCTCAAAAAACCAACCAACTAAATAAACAACCTGTTTGGAAACACCCATCACAGATACATTAATCAAATTGACAACTGAAATTAGCCATCACAGAACTCAATATATTAATACTAGCTAAACATATTCTGTTGTTATTGGATAGTTTTGAGCCTTTTTTGGGGAGAGGGGCAGGATCTCACTCTGTAGCTCCTGTGGTCCCAGAACTCACTATTTAGTACAGGCTGACCTTGAACCCACACTATCCTCAGCCTTAGCCTCCCAAGTGCTAGGATTAGAGGCATGAGCCTGGATAGATGTTTTTTTATTTTCCTGCATCTAAGATGTTTTAGGAGTTTGGCCCTAAAAGAATTACCTTCCTTGATTACTGGAGGAATGGCAGTGTCACAGTGAATCTTCCCCATTCTTCTTGCTTGCAATGCGACATTTTACTATTGGCTATCTAGAATTAGTTTAAACATTTCCATCTTAATGAGTACTTTATTTTTTCAAGAGACACAGGTATTTGAAGTTGTATCTTATGGCAGTTATCAATCCAAACACACAAGCATGTTTTCTTCTTAGAAACAATGGCTACACATTGAAAGCATGTCATGTTATGAGGCAAACTACACAGGCTTAAATAATTTAATTAAATAAACCCAGCTTCTAAGAGTCTACATATGGTAGACATTAAAAATTGCAAAAACTGGGGCTGGAGAGATGGCTTAGTAGTTGAGAGTGCTTGATGGTCTTCCAGAGTCCATGAGTTTGATTCCCAGCACCCAGGTCAGGCAACAAAAAACTCCCTGTAACTGCAACCCTAGAGAATATAATGCTGTTCTCCAAACTCTAAAGGCATCACCCACCACACACACACACACACACACACACACACACACGGAGAGAGAGAGAGAGAGAGAGAGAGAGAGAGAGAAGGTGAGAGAGATAGAGAGGGAGAGAGGGAGGGAGAGAGAGAGAGAGAGAGAGAGGCAAATAAAAATAAAGCTAAAGGCCACACTTGCTGGAAAACCAGGTAGGTTGTTCACAGACCTTCTCTTCTCTTGCTATTGCTGTTCCCCCAGATCCAGTCCTCCAGTCTCATCCCCAGCTCTGCAACAGAACACCCATGGTAGTCTTCCCTGCCATCTCCATCCATCTCCTATAGATTTCACATATTTTCCTCCCCCTGCTTGTTGCTTTGTCCCAGACCCCAATCCCAGTAGGTACCCCCTGCTAACCCAAGGGCCATGACAAACAAGTAGGCTAAGGACAAACCTACACCTCTCCTACTGCTCCTGAGATCCAATTCCCACCCCTACCTCAATACCATCCCACAGCTCTAAGGCAGGAAATCTATTGAGATCTCCCTTTCCTCTCTGACTGCATCCTCAGTGAATCACAAGGACCTTCTTCTCTAACTTTTCTTCTCCAAACATATATCAGAATCCCAGCCTCCAACACCAGCAGGCATTCCCCGTGAACACACCAGCCAAGCTAGCACACTCTCCAAAAAATCCAGAGAAGCAGCAGAAACCAAGGAACAACACACCCACCCAACAAAGACAAACCCAGAAAACATCACCTAGAACTGTAA